TGCTTTATAGAAGGATACTGAATTTTTGGTCATCCCCTACGCAAACAAAGGCCACGCAGAACTATCTTGCAGCCATCCTTTAAAATCTATGCTGCCCTTAAATCAAGACAACAATAATTGTGTCCAGTATGTGGACACGGTCGATCGGATTTGGGATATTTGGTGCTTTCTTACCCTCTGCTATCAATTGTTGGATCTGCTGAATCCTGAATTTTATTTGGGGCGATAATCCAGTTAAAAGATAAGATTAACGACTTTTGAAAGAATAAGATTTGCGAAGATCTGGAAATTCTCTGTTGGATATAAAATTTTTAATCTAAAAGAATTACTAGTGTTAAAAAATTAACGAATAAAATAAATTAACGAATGGAACATTCAGAGAAAATAATATCGTTTTAAATATACAGTGTTTCGTTTATTCCTCTTTTTAGTATAGTTTTCTCAATTATCATGATATTCTATAATTACTTTGAACAGTATATAAACTTCAACTGACAGCTGTAGAGTGGACAATGTGTGCCAAAATTATTCGCGTTTGGATGTTCCCATAATTAGACGTTACGTGTCATTACCAATAATCATATAAAAGGATACTTTATCATCGGTTCTTCTAGGATAAATTTATATATTCATGCATTTCCTCCGGGTTATTAGGAATGGGGAAAAGCACCTAATTATTATCTAAAAGTATATAGCCCATCTGGTACTTCCATTCTATAATTACTATAATTCTCCAACTATAATGTCATACCGTTCTTTTCATCAGATGTGGATATGAAATTGTTATGTATCTAATCCCTTCCATTTCGAAATAAATTATCTGAAATTATCTATAAGTGTTTTAATTATTATAACCACAATATTAAACCAAATATTTTTTACATTATAAACCATTACGACAGTTCTAATTCCTCTATACAATTAAATCTATATTATTACTGTTTATTAATGAATTTACTTTTCCCATGAACAATACTAACTTGATCTTCTGAACCTGATTCTTTAACACTAGAATTATCGACAATTATAGTGTGTTTATTTGTACCAAAGAAATTGAAACGATAGATACGCGAAGAAATACATAATGCAATGGAAATAAGTGTTTATATATTCTCTTATAAAAAATTACGATAAATGTTCAAAAATTCAATCGAGTAAATTTTTTACAAGTTTTATTAGAAATTACGAATGGGTCATTTTGACTGGTTTGGTAGTGCCAGTGTTAAGAAAAAACAAAATTCTCTTGTTAAAATTTTCATAGTACGCTAAACGCAACGAGCAAAAGATTCCGTAAACGGTAAATTAGAAAACAAAAAACGAGAATCAGCGTCAAAATGAGCGACAACGTTGTCGTAGCACGGACCAATTTACGGACGGAGTGAATTCTGGCCGATCAACAGGGGGGCTCAGAATGCCACAGACCGAAAGTGGTGCCAGGGGGTTGGAGGAAAGGGGGAGGACACACCCCCCGCGAACTCGAACATGAATTAAAGTTTTAATTTCTCTAAATCACTGTTCGCCCTCGAGCGCTTTCCACCAGACGGTCCGTTACTTATAGCCTTTGCCCTTTTTACCGCCTTCTTTTTTCCCATTCGCCTCGATCTTACCACCGTCCAACCCTCGGCAATCGGGAGAAATCGATATGCACTTATCCGATGACTCTTGAGACCCCAGGCCCTCCTTTTTTTCAGGCGTACTTTCGTAGGCATAACAGTCGGCGATCGGTCGCTCGCGGAGATTTAAACTTCGCGAGCCAACATTTTCGTCGATGTTACTCGAAAACCGTTCGGGGCTAATTCATACGTCCTCTATTCGAACGAATACTTATCGAATATAGCTTATAGAGAGGCGGGAGCAATCTATAAATCAGAATTTTCAACTGGGTTACACGCTATCTTGAGTTTCTGTACCATTAAAGTCGAGCAAAGGAGGTTGTAGAAATAATCTATGGGTTGTTGGAACGGTCTGATTGGTTAGAACAAACCAGATTTAAATTCTGACGTAGTAACTCGATCATTCGATACGCCCTTTTCTTACAAGTTAGAAAATTATAAGTTTAAAATTCCGTGCAAGGCAGTTTTAGCAGATCTGGTGCAGGCAGAGGTGGGCAAATTTTATTCACAAATGATAAATACAAATTTTAGATCCGTTTGCAAACTAATTTTGTTTGTAACTTTGTAAATGGGAATTTGGTAATGGATTTTTCAAATCAACATTTAGGCAAGTAGAATCGTGGCCTAGAGCTAGTTTACGAACGAATCCAAAATTTGTATTGTTGTTCTTAAATAAAATTTGTCAAACTCTGGGTACAGGTATACAAATCATTTCATATAAAAAAATGAAGTCGAGCTTTATACCTCAAGAATACCATTTATATTATTTTATGTATTTTCTTAAATCCTACAACTTCTGTAAGTAACATTTTCTCCGCATTGTTCGAAATAATCGAAATATTTAAGTGGACAGAGTTCGTGAGACACACTATATATGATAGCATTTTACGTTTCAAATGTTACAATATTTTAAAGTAATTTCATATTGCTGCGTTTGATCGAAGACTTTTTGCTAGGGGTTGTAGATTAATCAACACGAAGTTAATACGTGGCGACAGTTCCTGTACTCGCCAGTAGAGGGCTACGCTCAACCTGTACCTCTCTCACAAGTACTCGACGGATCATCTCGTTCAGTTCTTTCTACAATAACAGGCCTCCACAATTCATTTTAATACAAATACTGCATAGAGATATTAAAAGAAATGCCTCATCAAATAATGTATACGATTAGAAATAAATCTGTTCTATTAAAAGTTTGCAATAATTTCTAAAGGATTATTGGATCCATTCTTTGTTCATTCCCATCGAGTGTCACAAATTATTAAACTTTCAATCAAGGTTTAATAATACAATTATTATGATTCTCACGACTCAGATATCTGTGTACACCGAATCGCCTAGATCCTAGAATAAAAATTTGCCCGTCCTGGGATCTGCAGATTCCCCGATACTCGTCAAAAGGCGTCCACTTTCCACCGTCGTCCCGAGACCCGAATAGGTTACTTACGAATGGGGGTTGTAAATTACGATCAGCCCCCCGCGTTAATGTATCGAGACCGATTTTCAGCCGCGTCTTGGAAACTGGATCACGCGGCACACGCTCGATCCGCTTTATCCCTCGGTGCCGCGCGACAGGGTGAGACCGGGGGTTGTTCATTTAAAATCATGACGTCGAGCGTAGGGCGCAGTCACGACGGAGGCGTTAGTATTAACGTTAGGTGCCACACCAGACCGGGGCCACCTACAAGAACTTCGTGCACCCCTTACCGCCGGTGACATATTGTTTCCATTCTGCTCTCGGGCTAAAGCGCAATAAAAAACTGGCATAAATATCGCCGCCCTCGGCGTCCCGCGGCACCGATGCCATCCAAAGCGGTGGCCCGCGACACCGAGCCACGGGCACAAGAACAGGAGAGGCACTGGGATACCGGCGGTCTACAACTACGTGGAAACGTTCTTTCGCGCGGGAGAAACGGCAGGGACTAATTTGTCTGAGTGGCTTTTTCGACGGCTATAGAAAGGGCGACGCAGATTGCGAGCCGCGCTATGATCTTTCGGGCTTTGGTAAATTGTCGCGGCAACGAAATATTCGAGCGATTAGAATATTCTTCGGGGACCTGCGGTCAGATTGTTTACTACGATGCAGCAGACATGCCAAACATACTACCCCTTATTCGTTGAGTTAGTTTAGAAAATCCCTCTTGTTCATTTTCATTTTATTTGCTATTCATCTATTTATATTTTACAGTTTGATTGATATTTGTATTTAGTTTTTTATTGTGAGCAATCTTGTCATCTGTATAATATATTTGAGAGTGTGCAGAGTGAACCACATAATTCATTGAATTTATTTATAAAATCACCTTTGTTCGTTGAATATTCTTTTCATTCCATTTACTATACATCTATTTATATTTTACGGTTTGATTGATATTTGTATTTAGTTTTTTATTGTGAGCAATCTTGTCATTTGTGTAATACAGGGTGGTCCACGTAATTGTTACAAGTCATAACTCCGTTATTATTGCATTTCCGAAAAAATGCCAAAGGAAAAAGATAAATGGTTCGAAGGGCACTACATCTGTAGGCCTTAAAATTTTTTTTAGATGCAGCAGTGCATGTGCAATTAACAATTATTAATTATCTTCTTCAATAAAGACATTTTTTTAAAATATCTCGAGATCTAATAATTTTTTTGCCATGGCACCCTAATCATTTTTTACGTAGAATGAATAGAAGAATCGATCTGTCTAAAAAAAAATATGCATTTCTATTTAAAGAAATGATGCAATTGTTAATTGCACATGCACTGCTGCATCTAAAAAAAATTTAAAGGCCTACAGATGTAGTGCTCTTCGAACCATTTATCTTTTTCCTTTGGCATTTTTTCGGAAATACAATAATAACGGAGTTATGACTTGTAACAATTGCGTGGACCACCCTGTATATTTGAGGGTGTGCAGAGTGAACCATATTATTCATTGAATTAATTTGTAAAATCACCCTTGTTGGTTGAATATCCTTTTCATTCCATTTGCTATACACTTTCTATTTATATTTTACAGTTCAATTGATATTTATATCTATTTTTCTATTGTGAGCAATTTTGTCACCTGTAGAATATGTTTGAGGGTGTGCAGAGTGAACCACGTAACTTGATCAACTTAATTTTTTCTGGTACTAATGGTCCATTAAAAATGTTTTTTTAGTAGTATAGCACCGTTTAGAGCTTTGAGATGAGTGTACTAAATTTTTTGCTAATTGTTTCTTTTCTATTTGTGAAACTCTTGCAACTAAAAATTCTTCTCAACTTTCTTTTTTTATGTAAATAGAATAAAATATATTTATTATGCTGGTTGCCAAATTCATTGAATGATAAATGTAAAAAAATAAATAGGTTTCTTCATAAAAAACTATGGGATGAATTTTAAATTGCATTGTACTTACAGCGTAACAGGTTCCTCAGGACTCGAAGGTGAAATTGAAAGCGACATAGTAGTGGTTAGGCATCGTGATGTTCCTGGCGATCTAACACGATCGTTCACCTAAAACAGGAGGGAAACAATAAGTTATAAATATCGCTGCTTCCAAAAACATATTAGAATATCTCTACAAATCTTCTAAAATTTTGCTTAAACGTGTCTTTCTTCAAACAGAAAAATTTGTGCCTCGTTTTCATGAGTACTGTGTAACATTCTTTACCCAAAACAATTATAATTATTAATTCCGCTACGTTAAGAAAAAAATATTTGAAAAGATTAAACTATTCAAACACACGGTTAAATGCTTCTAAATTTTGTATTTTTTCTACTACATGCTTAACGACTAATTCAGTTTACTAAATTTTACGAATGGCCATATTAAAAGTACCCCTTAACCCTGTCGTTAAATAGAGTTTCGTATAACTGATAGCATGACGCGAAACGTTCGATTCGGTCGTCGAACTACGACGCGATTCAGTTTAAGGGATTATGCACACGATCGGATTGAAAAATGCAGAAGGAACATTCGTTCGTGCACCTTTCAAATTCTTTGCACGATCCTCGCTGTCGTCGATGGGGAATTGAGCAACAGGTAGAGCAGATATGTCCTCGAGGCATCATGCTCGACAGAGCGTACGCGTGATTTACCGTATAAGTGACTCATCGAAAGCATCCTTTTTCTCTTATCTTCGACTCTTCGCTTGAAACGCGAAGGAAATAATTCTTTTAGTAGAAACCAAGAATTCATATTCGAGGATACTATTCATATAAATTATCAATTTTAGTGGAATTAATATTTCAAAGCATTAATATAACACTCCTTTTTATAATTATTATTTTAATGATATTCTTACTAACATTCAATAAGTATTATTTCATTCTTCAACTTTAATTTTAGCAAATTTCTATTCGTTAATGCGATAGAGAAATGTACTGATTATTACATCAATTTATGTTTACAATTTTGACATTTATTTTGTTCTCATCGATTCATTCATATTTTCATAATCACTACGTCGCTATTCGCATGTTTAAATGTTGAAATCATATTTCACTTCAGTATTTCTCCCGATTAAAATTAGTACAGACATTTTACAATACTTTCCTAATGCATCGCTTCGATGCTATCTTAAACGAAGAAAATAAGTATTTGAACAAGAGCAATATTTCCCGCGAATAAAAGTTACCCAACTCTGTTGAACAGCATGATCCATAACCATAACCATTCTCCAGGCTCTCGATCGAGACACCGGATCGTCGCGAGAAACACAAATTCAGTCGAAATTGAGCCACCCGCGTTCAAAGAAATATTACAGCCATATTTTTCTCCGGTGAACGATGACTGAAGCTCTCCCGCGATTTCCAAGGGATTAATAATGGCAGTAGACCGTTCTACGACAATCGCGGAGAGAAACAAACACAGCCCCCGGGCAAGTGGACCAGACTCGCACCGACATCAATCTGAACGAGCGAGCCGCACCCCTAACGAGCCACCGAGTCATATAAATTTTATTGCCATTTCATAAATCTCGACAACTACCGCGAGTAACCGTTCCGGGGCTCTCTGAGAGATTATCAGGAACGTATAAAGTTGCGGATCGTTGCGCGGTTACGGCTCGATTCTGTCTTTAGCGACGCTCGCGGCGCGACTCTGCGGGGGTTGGTCGTGGAAAATATCGCGAAAACGTTCGAATAATATCGTTAGTTCTCGCTGGCGATCGAACGCGGCGTAAAATGGTAGATTTATCGTCCCTGGATATTTTTAATCGCTTCCGAGCCTCTTAACGACACCTCGAAGACAATCTAAGTATGCTATTGGTACTTAATAATTTATCACCCAAATTTTGCATTCCACCTAGAATGCATTTATATGTATAATAAGACGATGATGGACATTTAAAAGTGTACACAGATTAATGTACGAGTTTTCGATTTTTAACTTATAATTAGTGATCTATATACAATACATATGTAGAATGTGAATTTGAATGTATGTAATAGAGGTGTGTGCTAATTAGTGAAATAAATTTCGATCAGAAAATGATTTTAACTGTTCCTTGGAAGTAGTCGAATCTTTGGGATTCTATTTTTATTAACTACTTTCATAAATTCTTCCTTTAAAGGAATTCGTGAAGTTTATGAACGTCTTAATAGTGTTCATTAAATTTTGTAATAAGGTTGTAACGCAGCAGACTCTCAGGCTAATTTATTTTCTTTATCGAAGTAACAACATTTTCTGAAACTTCTTCCGTTGATGTCTTTAGTAGTGTCCGTTATTTTTATTAAACGCGGTTGTTGTGATTGTTAACATCTTCTATTGCCAATTTTTAACGATATCGTAGCTAATAATTATTTACCTTTTGAGCATAGCAATGTGCTGTTTTATTACATTACGTCCGACGTTTCAACCTGATTTGAAATTCTCTTAAGGGAAAATTAATACTAAAACTTAAAGATTTTTCATATGATTATACTAGGAAATTCCGAAATTTCTTAGTAAAATCTTCTGAAATATTATAAAGTAACAATACAACATTATATAAATTTTATACAATCTTTGTATAATGTCGCACAAATAAAATAGAAAAATGCATGACGTGTATTATAAATATTTCCGTATCGCATGAAAGATTTCGATCTAAGCATGTAAATAGAAACATTAAATGCGATGCAAGCGGGGACGAGGGAAACGAAAGTATCAAGACTATATTTATAATAAATAAGAAGGAACCGCGTACGCGAAAAAGGAAAAAGGAGCACAGTTAATTCAGTTTTATACGACAACACTTCCGATCCACGGGTAAGCCGGCGACAGTCTCAAGTTACTTCCCCCGTGTTCTCTTCATCTTAACGCAAAGACGAACCAAAACCTGATTTACATTTCTTTCTCTCCTCGCTATAAAAATTCTGCGACGATAACTTCCTTTGTTCCACCCTCTATGGTCGTAGGGACGAGCGACCCCTGCGGCTGGAAAGCCATGGGGAGTCCCCATAACCACGACTAGTTTTCGGTTTACATTACATTTTTTTCCTTAATTAAAGGCAATGCGCATTCAGGTTTGTCGAAAACCGTCCTTCTTTCAGCGAAACATATATTCAGCGTATATTCCACCCCTTGAAATTTTCCATCGAACGATTCGATAAATTAAATTAATTCCACTTAATCTAATTCTTCTTCAGTTTTAATTCTTCGTCGAATCGTCAATGTTAGAAAAGGGCTTGAAAATTTCAAGAATTAAATTTCAAGTACTTAATGTTAACTAACATTATAAAATTTTGTTTTCGACCATTACATATACAGTTATTCTCCACTCGTATTCGTACAGTATAGGGAAACTTTCTTGTAAATTTTGTCCATTTATTTTTACCAAATGTTTATTACAACTAGTATTTTTAGTATTTTAGTAGTATTTCTTTGTAATATCGACGATAGATAGGTATAATATAAACAGTATATTATAATAATAATGTCAACAATATATGTGATCATTTTCAAGCGGTGACCCATCTTAGTACTGACCACGCCCAATGAAGCTGAACTTCAGTGATCACACGAGAACCATTTCCAGTTTAAATAACATTTATTAGACACTACATTTGGTAACAAAATACAATAATATAATTACATTAGCGTAGATGTTGAATATATTCAATATTTTACAGAAGTTCCTATTTATTTAGTCTAAGCTTTACCTTCATTTTTCATTATATTACGTATTTGAGCATCGCTTGTTTATTATTTCAAAAGTAATGGTAGTTCGGATATTACAAAAGTATTTGTTCCCAGTTTTTGCAGGAAATTAGTTTGTGAGAAAAGCTGCTTACGAATAGATTACACGAGAACTAGTTGACAAGATTTATTTTTAATTTACACCCTTAAAAAAATGTATACAAAAATGAATTTATATCAATTTCAAAAATTTTTGTCCTGCTTTCTTTTACTTATAGTGAACCACCATTATAGTATACAAATACAAGTGGGAGCAACTGTATGTGTTAAAGAGTATTTGATCATTCCTGAATCAGATTTACATTTTATTCTTTCATGCACCCTTTTCAATCGTTAAAAATATTCTTTGTTTTCCTTTTCAAATTCAATTTTCTCAAAAATATTCTGCCTATCGTTTTCACTGCAATCTACAGCTTCGAATCGCGAGGAGAGAATCTATTCATGCATTTCCTCTGGGTTATTAGGAATGGGGAGAAGCACCTAATTACGGAAAAAAGACTATCAAAATTTAGTATATAGTCCAACTGGTACTTCCATTCTATAATTACTGTAATTCTCCAATAATATCATATCGTTCTTTTCATCAGATGTGGATTATACATGTACATTTTGAAATAAATTATTTGAAACTACCTACAAGTGTTTTAATTACTATAACCACAATATTAAATCAAATATTCTTTACATTATAAACCATTACGACGGGCTCATTTTAAATTTAATTTTCTCAAAAACGAATGAAAAAATTTCGTTTTTTACTTACTTCCTCGCGAAGAATCTTCTCCCTATCGTTTCCACTATAATCTACAGCTTCGAGTCGCGAGGAAAGAATCGGTTCGAATCGAACATCGACATAATAAATTCGCACAACAGTCGGTCGAAGCTGATGATCGTTCCGTTCAGTCGACGAAATCCCCGGCGCCGTAGGAGAGAAAGAGATGGAAAGAGGGCAAGACAGGATCGAAATGTAATTAAGAGAGCAAATAATCCGAGCCGAACAAACTCCATGAAATGGATCAAAGAACTCGCGAGCGAGATGTAGATCCAATAGGGGGAAGAAGAGAGAAAGAGAGAGAGAGAGGTGGGACATGTACCGATAGAGGCGCGTCGTTGAAAGGTAGCAGGACGAGCTACGACCGACTGCTTCTCCCTGTCGTCGTCCTGTCTAGCCCGAAGGAGTAGGGCAACGAGGGGGCCTCGGCAAAGACCCTCGATAAATATTTCCGTCAAGTGACCGGGGTTGGAATTCAAAGAGAGCCGAAAGGTGGAATCGAGAGCGAAACGAGTCCATCCTCTCTTCAACGGCAGTTCAAGGGATGGCCGACGAGAACTA